AGGAAAAAAAAAAAAAAAAAAAAAAAAAAAAAACTTTTATATAACATATATATATATGTATTTTGTTTTTTTTTAAATTAAGATACTTGAAAAAAATATATGTATTTACTATTTTTCATAAATGCATTTTTTAATCTTTTTCTAATATGTTTTTTCCTTTTTACACAGAAAATAATAAAATGCTTTTTTTATAACAAAATAATTAATACATAAAAAAAAAAAAAAAAACAAATAAAATAAAATAAAAAAAAAATATTATATATACTTTTAATTCAAAGGTAAGCCAAGTTTCATGTAATTTTCTTCTATATATATTTAAATATAAAAATATTGATAGAAAATCATATGAAGGAAATTTTTTTAAATTATATAGAAATGAATTTTAAAGAATTATTTATTTTTCATCTTTTTCTTTAATGATTGCAACCATATAAATTCTTTTTGTATGAAGATTAATATACTTCATTTAACAAAAATTAGTATTAGAAAAAGAAAATAAAATTAAATTATAATTTAAAGATAAAAAGATATATAAATAAAAATAATATATATTTACATTATATATATATATGTATGATTTTTTTTTATTAGTCTTTTTTTTTTTTATATTATGTTTAGATTAGATATAATTTAAAATATTAAGGAAATATTAAAATGATAAAATCTTTAAGAAATTTGGTTGTTCATGAAAAAAAGATAAAGGGAGTTTTATTAAGAAGAAATTATATCATTAAATTATTTAATTCTATAGATTATAGAAATAAAAAAATAAATTTATATAGATTAAATAAATATTTAGACTTACAAAATAGTAAAAATGATTTTATGATAAGTAAAGTAAATTTATTTAAAGGTATGAATTATCCTTTTAACAAATGGAGTGAAAATACAAGTAATGAAAATATGCTTTCAAAAAAGAGCAATATAAGTAATTACAATGAAAAAATGAAGAATCATACTATTATAAGAAATAATATAAATAAAATAGTAAATGTTGAGAAAAGTAAAAGTTCAAATGGTATTAATTGTAATAAATTATATGTAAGAAATTTTAGTAATATTTCTAGTAATAAAAACGAACAGGTAAAAGAAGAAGTATTAGTTAGTAATGTTACAAAAGAAAAAGAATTAAATACTACTAGTAAAAATAATAAAACAATAAAACAAATGTATATAGATAAAAAACAAAAAGAAAAAATGATAAAATTGTATCTACTTTTAAGTTTAATATTAATTCCTTTTGGATATACATATATGTATTGTTTACAAAATAATATAACCATAGAAGATTTATTAAAAATAATAAAAAAGAATATAGAATTAATAGAAACTAAATACAATGATTTATTACATGAATTTATTGATAAATATTTTCCATTAAGTAATGAACCATTATTACCAGATTTTAAAGATTTAAATTATCCTGAAAACTTACCAACTTTAGTTATAGATTTAAATTATGTTATTGCAAAACTGGAATACAATAGAAAAACAGGATGGAGAGTATTAAAAAGACCATATGCGGATTTATTTTTTAAAGAATTATCTAGTTTTTATGAGATTGTTATTTGGTCAGATGACAATTTCCCAGTAGCACAAGAAGTCATATCGAGATGGGGAATACCTGCAATAGGTTGTTTACACAGAGATCAATGTTCAAAAAAAAAAAAATTTTATGTAAAAGATTTAAAAAGATTAGGAAGAAATTTAGACAGAGTAGTAATTATTGATCATGATTCACATGCATTTATGCTACAACCGGAAAATGGGATATTAATTAAAGAATTTCATGGGGATGTAAATGATAAAGAAATATTATGTCTCATTGATTTATTAAAGTCTTTTGCGATTAGTACTTATGATATTAGACAATTTTTAAAAAAATATGGAGGAGGAGATTATAATATAGGAAAAAGATATTTACAATTAAAAAGTGATACAGAACAAAAATCAAAACGAATTAGAAATATAGGGAAAATTTTTCATTTAGATAATAAAAAAACACCAAATGGCATTTCTTTTAACTCTTAGAAAAAATTATATATAGTTATTTAAAAATTTATTTTTAATTTTAAAGTGTTTGCACACACATTTCTTATTTTTTCTTATAAATCTTTGTAATTTAAAAAAAAAAAAAAAAAAAAAAAAAAAAAAATTATGAAGCATATGATTTTTAATACTTTTTATTAATTTGAAATGTAAACAAATTTTGAAGAACTACATATTTTATTCTTTAAATTAACACATGAAAATTGTTAGAACTTTTTTAATTATTACTTATAAAAAATCTACTCTTATAATTTGAAACATTAAATTTAAAATTCTTTTAGAAAATATAAAAAGTTTATATATTAGTAAATTCTTAATTTATATAGGCAAATATTATATATAGAAAATTTTTTTTGAAGCAAAGACATTTTATATCTTTGCAGAAAATTATACAAAAATTTTAAGGTATTAACTTTTTTAATTTTCATTTATAAAGTAAATATATAAATAAATAAATATACAAAATTTTAAAGCATCAGTTTTCTTTTCTCGTAATTGAAAATAAATAAATCATAAAAACGAAAACTTAAAAAAAAAAAAAAAAAACTAAATATATTCTTATTTGTAAGAATGGGTATATTCATTAGTATATATATTCTACTATTTTTATAAATTTTTTTCAAACAATATATTTTTTTTAATATTAATGAATTTTTGTTTTATTTATTTATTTTATTTTTTTTTTTTTTATATGCTAGTTATTTTATTGAAAAAAAATTTTACTTCTTCTGCCGCTTTTATACCTCTTTTTTTAATATCATACATATAATTTTTATTTAAATTAAAATTATTTTCCATACTTTCGTTTTTTTTTTCTTTTAAAGATAAAATTTTTTCTATTTCTTCCATTGTGCAAATATTATTATTTTCTGTAAGTAATAAATTAAAGGAATCCATATCATATACATTGGATAAAAATATTTTTATTAAAAATTCTATCTTATTCATTTGATTTTTAATATAATTAAAATAGGTTTTAGGTATAATAAATTCATCTACATCCGTTAAATTCTCCTTTTTTGTTAAATAAAATTCTTTTTTATTTTTTTCCTCTTTTTTATCTTCTGTATTATTTTCCACATAATTATTTTCTTTATTTTCATTATTTAGTATGTTAGGTATTTGAAATAAAACTTTTTGGATTTCATAACAGTCTAACAACAATTGTTGTGCTGTTATATTAGTCATATATTTAAATGAAAATATAATTTGATAAAATCGTTGAATAATCAATGTGGTTGTTTTTTCTAATAAATATGTTAAATAAGTCTCGTTAAATATTTTTTTAAAAAGTGTAAAATAATTATGAAGAAAAACTTCTATATTTGATATGTAATGTGATTTTTCCTGTATTTTATTTATATCATATATATTTACTACACAGTTGTTATAAAGGATAGTGTTTAGTTTTTCTTCCATATAGGTAATTATTACTTTTATACATTTAGTTTTTATATTTAAAAATATTTTTTCTTCTTCTTTAAAAGAAATTTTATCACAAAAAATTGAATCAATGTCATTTATTATATTTTCATAAGCCTCATTAATTGTTTGTTCTACATAATAACTTGTATTAATTAATATAGATAATAATTTAAAATTTTGAATTTTGTTTTCTTCTTTGATTTTTATTATTATTCTTTTGTTTAATTCATCGCCATATTTGAATAGAAGTGTTTTAAAAAACATAATAAAATCAAATAAAGTTTGACAATTGCTAAATAGTAATATCATATTAACATAACTTTTATATAAGTAGAATATTTTATAAGCAGATTTATATACTGTATGTTTTTCTATAATCTCAAAATCCATTTCAGGCATAAATTCATTTTTATTCAATAGATTTTTTACATCGTCAAAAGTGTCATTTACAAAATTTTGCTGTTTTGTCTTATTAATTCTTAGATTATCTACATTATCTTCTTCATTTTCATTTATTATATTTTCAAATTTAATTAAAATTTTTTTTTCTTCATATTTCAACCAATTACACAAATAACTATCAAATACACATGAAATAGCACCCTTAAAATTATGATTTCTTTCTTTATTGGGGCTAGAAATATCAATGAAATCAATATTTTTGTTTTTTTTATTGCTATAATTCTCTTCACATTTATTATTATTATTATTATTATTATTATCATTAATATCACTTTTGATATCATTGCTACTTTTTTTATCATCATCTACAGTAACACAATTAAATTCTTTAAAATTTGTTATACCTTTACATTTGTTACTAACATTTTCCTCTTTGTTGTACGAATTTTTTTTTGAAATAAAATAAGTATCATTTTTCATATTTTCTGTTGAAGATGTTTCATTTTTATTATTTATATTTTTGTAATCATTGATGTTTTCTTTTAAATTATTATTTAAAAGTTGATCATTCTCCGAATGCTTCATATCCTTTTGAATTATTAATTCTGGAAATGGGAACTCTAAAGAAGAGTAACAATTATCATAAGATACATGATTATCTGGTCCATATAATTTTATATTTTTTGTAAGGAAATTCTCAAATTTTATGACTTTTATAACTGTTTGTATTAATAGAACTGGATTAATTTCTTCAATAGAAGAAGAAATTATTTTAACAATATGTTTTTTTGTAATAGAACAAAATTTACTTACAATATTAAAAGGAACATTATAAACATTTGGGAAAATATGAGAATATGTATTTTCATAATTATTTAAAGAACGTTTTAACCAAGCTATTCTTCTATCAATGCTTTCTAAGGTATTTGCTTGATTTTCAAAAATTAATATATATTTTTCTAAAAAAAAATTGGTAAATTTTTTTACTATATTTGTTATAAAATTTGAATTTAAATAATATAAACAATTACATGCATCAAATAAGTTTATATAAATTTTATTATCATTTATTTCGTTTATCACAACAACATTTTTTTCTATATGTACATCACAATCATATATAAGATCAATATCTTCCTTTATTTGATTTTTTAAATCATTAAATAAAGTGTTCGCATCATTATATAAATCGTTTAACTTATCATTAGTTTTTAAATCTAAAATATGAATTAGCATTTCTTTAATAACAGATACTAAAGATATGCAATCTTTATAATCTCTTTTTAACGCTTTTTTTTTTAAATTACTTATAGCAGTAATAACCATTACAATTCTTTTTAATATTATGATAGTTTCAGTAACATTTTTTTTTCCGATATCTAATTTTTTTATATCTTTACATAATTTTATTAATATATCTTCACTTTCTTCTGTCTTTTTATCTACATCTTCCATTTTACTATTTATTAATTTTATTTTTTCTTTAATGTTTTTTAACTTGCTTTCATATTCATTTTTTCTTAAAATGTGATTTTCTACTTTTTCGTTAATAACTTTATCAAGCTCAATTATTTCATTACTCATTTTTTCTAAATGAATTTCAACATCTTCTATGTTCTTTATATTGTTATTTATATAATCACTTACAAATTCATCTTCTTTTTCATCTTCATTTATTATTTCTTCCTTATATTCCAATATATTACTCTTTATATCACTCTTTTCAAAATATTTCATATTATAAATAATATTAATAAATAATTACTATTATATAATAAATATGGTCACTATTTAATACATATAAGCTCAATAAATTATAAAGAAAAAATTTAAATTATATAAGAAAAGAAATATTTGTTGACTCTTTTGCTTTATTTTGTTTTATTTTTTATTTTTTTTTTTTTTTTACTTTATTTAAATATTAAATTTATTTTCTACTTAATTTGGGTATTTTTTCATAATATTTGTAAATGTGAAATATTTCTTCTTTAATGTGTATTTATGAAAAAAAAAAAAAAAAAAGTTTAATTGTAAACATACATTTTGGAATGGAATGGAAAACTTTGTTTATATTTTAAATATATTTTTATTTTTTTTAATTAAATTTATATTTTCGTAAAATTATTCTTCATTTTATGATAAAATTTTTAATGTAAAAAAATTTTAATTTTGTAATTATAAAATGATATTTAAAAGTATAAGAACAATTTAATGATTTTATTATAGATGAAAATTATTTGTGTTGTAAATATATATATATAATTTTAAAAAATAATAATGAAAAATTATATATTTATATATTAATATAATTAATAAAAATAACAAAATGTTAAACGAAAAAAAAAAAAAAAAAATAAAATATTAAATACTTATATAAATATCTATTAAGTGTAACAAATGAAGTATATCAAAGTAACACATTTAATTTGTTTTTTTAAATTTTTATAAACATTTTTTGTATGTGTTATTTAAAAATATATTTTTTGTTACATTTTATATATTAATTTCATCTTTTATTTTTTAATTCTCCTTTTTTAAAAAATATAAAATTAATAATGTGCATAACAATTCTTTTGTTTTTTTTTTTTTATAACTAGAAGAAATAATTATTTTATATTTATACTTTTAATCCACATTATTTTTGTGTATTTTATATTTTGGCTTGTGTGACTTTTATTAAATAAAAAAATATTTTTAAAAAAAAGTTTTTCCTTTATATTTACAAAAAAAATATAAGTATTTTTTTTTTTTTTTTTTTTTGGAAATCATAAATTTTATAAATTGTATTTTAATATAAAAAAAAAGTTTGTCATATAATTAAAAAAAAATCTATTTATAATAGTAAAATTTTTTTATAATGGTTCTACGTCTACTAAAATTTTTTGTTTTGATTGTCGCATCAAAAAAGCTAGGTTTTCAGCTCTATCAAAATTCTTAAAATATAAGTTATCAACTTTTCCTTTTATTTTTAATAAATTATAAATTGATTGAGCTCTTTTAGAATCACATGTAGGGATAAATTTCATTAATGTTTCTACAAATTCTTCCTTATCGTAATTATCATCATAAATAACTAATTTAGCATAATTTAAATTATGAGAAGATTCTGTATCATCAAAATCATCTAAATTTTCATCACAAAAACCATATGAATCTATTTCATCATTATTCATATTATATCCACCATAATTAAAATCATCTATTCCATTATCCTCCTCTTCGTTTTCTTCGTTTTCTTCATTTTCTTCATTTTCTTCATTTTTTGTTTTGTTATCATTATTTATTTTCTCAAATTCATTTTCACATTCTAAATTCCATTTAATTAAACAGTTAATTGATTTTTTATTTAATTTATTTTCATTTTCATTCTCATTTTCATTCTCATTTTCATTTTCATTTTCATTATATTTTTCTTTATGCTCATAATTTTTTATTCCCTTCCCATGACGTTTTAAAAATTTTTCATTAAACTCTAATATTTTTCTTTTTCTTTTAGATAAATATCTTTCTTTAGCTATTTCTACATCTTTTTTTGCAAAATGAACTTCTGGTAATTCTTTATTTTCTTTTAATACCCAATTTATAAATAGGGTATTTAAATCTTTTTTATAAGAAAATGTTCTATATTCAGCATCTATAAACGTTTCTAATTCATATAAATCTAGATTAGGTTTATAATTATTATAAAATAAATTATAAAAATAATCACGCATAGCATATACTTTTTTGTATAAAATGTTATCCTTATCCTTTTTAATATCTTCAATTCTATTTAAATCAATTCTATTTTGATCATCCAAAATTTTCATTTCGCAAAATTCACTATGCATTTTATCACAAATTTTTCTTAAAATTTCATTTCTTAACTCGGGGTTAGTTTTTATTTTATCTAATAAATTATTAGGTTCGTTAACATTTTCCTTATTATTTTCTTCATTTGTTACATTTTTACTAGAGTGGTTCTCATTACTATTTTCAAACGACGATTCTTCAGAATTACTTTTAAGATTATCATTAATGTCATTTTTATTATAACTATCTTTATGCAAATCATTTTCTTCTTTAATGTCTTCATTAGACATAGAAAGAGAAGTGATATATTTTTTTTTTGGATAAGTTAAATTCATAATTTTTTTTAAACAATTATCTTTATCATAATTTTGAGCATAATTATAAAATGGCTCAAATTTTTTGTTATCATAAAAAATATTTAATTTTTTTTTTTTGTTTATATCTAAAAAATCATTTAATGAAACCTCTTTATATGTTTGATCAAATTTATTTATATATGAGTTTGTACAAATATCATATTCATATAAATTTAAAATGTTGTTAGAGTAAATATAATTATGTTTAATTATATAATTAGGTATAAACTTAGTCTTTTTAATGACTTTATCAAATAATTCATGTCTTTCAAAATATTTCATTTTATTTTTCTCATCTACATGACCAATTATATCAATTTTATAGTTTAAATGAAATAATTTATAAGATATTTTTTTCATTCTATCAAACAAGGAATTTAAGAAATAAAAATATTTATGAACATTTTTTGTTATCCATATATTATTTATATAATTCACTAAAAAAAAATCATCAATAAATTTTGGCCTATCAACATTTGTAATAATATTTAAAAAGTATTTGTAAATATTATATCCGATGGCATCTTCTTTTTCGATTGACATTTTTTTTAATTGTAATAATTCTTTATATATATCGCTGTTAATGTTATCCTTATTTATATTTGTAATATTTATTTTTTTAAAATAAAAATATATATTATTTATATCAACAAATTTTTTATCTTCAACTCCATTTTTGTCTGATGTATTTGGTAATTCATCATTATATGGAAAATAATTTTTTTCATAATTACTATCATTAAACAAATTATTATTTTTCTTTTTTTTTTGTTCACTACTACTTTTTTGATTATTACAACTATTAATGCTATGAAGATTGTTATTTTTATTTTCATCCTTATTTACATAATCATCATTATAAATATTATCTTGTTTTATAATATTACTCTCATCATAATATATATAATTTTTATCTATATATATGTTGTTAACATCTTTATAAAGAATTTTATTAATTTCTTCATTATCTTTATTTTTTATAGCTTTAATTAATAAATATAATTTATTTGTTGATAAAAGATTTAATATTTCTTCATCAGGCAAACAAGTATACTCACTTTGTAAATTAAAATAATCTCTTTGATTAGGATGATATAAAACAGGGGTTCTATATATTTCTGATTTTTTTCTTTTTTTTGGCCTTTTTCTATGTTGTAATTTAGTAGATTTTAATTGAACCCTACTTGACATAAAAATTTTATTTTTAAAATTCTTAAACTTTATTTTTATATTATAATTTATGAATATTCTTAAATTTAATACTACTAAAATAAAAAAGAATAAAAATATTCTTTTCATTTTTTTTTTTTTTTTTTTTCTTGAAAATTAATTTACATTCAATAATGATATAGTTAAGTATGCTCAATTAAAACTGTTAAAAAGATGAATATGAATATGAACATTCTTTTCATCTTTTTTTATTAAAATACTTAAAAATTCAACAATTTAATGAAATACACGTTAATTATTCTAATTTTTTAAAATATTAAAGAGAAAATAAAATTTCTGACAAATTTACATAAAAGTTAAAAAAAAAATACGAAACAGACTAAAAAAAAATTTCAATAAAGGAAATAACATATAAAGAAAATATTTTAAAAACATATCAAAAAAAGTTATAAAGATATGAAAAAATGTTCTTTATAAATAAGAGAAAAAAAAAAAGAGAAAATTTTTACATAAAAAAAATATTAAAAAAATGAATGAATCTATGATACTAATTTTTTCTTTTAAAAATAAAAAAAAAAAAAACACTGTTGAAAAATTTTTAAAGTTATACATAATTAAAATTATGTTATATTATTTTTATTACATACATATGTTTATCAGAAGTTTAAAGAATATTCAGGAGTGCATTAATTATAATTGTAACATTTTAAACAAATGAAAAATGAAAAAATAGAAACATTTTTTTTTCATTTAGATCATGTTAATTATATAAAAAAATAGAATTTTAAATTATAAAAGCAAATGTGTAATATATCTACATTCAATAAACATTATAAAATTTTGAAAAATAGGTACACTTTTTTTTTTTTTTTTTTTTAATATTATATTCTTTCATTTTCATAATAAATTTTAAATATATTTTTTTGTATTTTCTTTATGATTCTACATTTTTTGATACTTTTGTACATAAAAAGAAAAAAAGACTTAAAATTAGGACAATCAGATATTTTAATTGATAATATAAATAATTCTATCTTTTTTTTTTTTTTTTTTTCTAGTAAATTATACATCTTTAAAAAAAAAAAGAAATTTTAACAAAAAATTAAAAATAAGCTATTTAATTAATATATAAAAATTTAACTTCAAATAAATTCATAATTTTTTTTTTTTTTTTTTTTTGTAAGATTAATTTATTTTTTTATATATAAATTAGTAATAATATATATAGGAAAAAAAGAAAAAAAATTTTAGTTCGTACTTAAAAAACAAAAAAAGGAAATTTTGTTAAAAATAAGATTTTAAATAAAATTAGACAATAAAAGTTTCATATAATAATAGAAAATATATATTTTAAGAAATAAGGCGGTTTAAAAAATACAAAATTATTTATAAATTTAAATATATACAAATAAAAATTTCTAATTTTTTTTTTTTTTTTTTTTTTAATCTTATGTAACTTTTTTGGTTATATATAAAAGTTAATTTAAAATTATTTATTTATTTTGTTTTATTTTATTTTTATTTTTATTTTTTTTTTTTTTTTTACATTTATTTTTATATTAATATTTTTCATGTCCATATAAATTGAGGTGTTTCGTTTGAAGACTTTTTTTCTAATTCCATCTCATATAATGGTGAAATACTTCTTAACCTTTTAACTGCTTTAACTAAATTAATACACAATTGTTTCACTTCAAAAAAAGTTGTAAATCTATTAAAACCAATTCTTATAGATGTATGTGCGATATCCTCTGATACTCCTATTGATCTTAAAACATAGCTTGGTTCTAAGGTACTAGATGTGCAAGCAGAACCAGAACTTAGAGCAATATCATTTAATGACATTAATAAGCTTTCTCCCTCTACAAATAAAAAGGAAATATTAACATTCCCAAAATATCTATTTATTTGACACCCATTAAATACAATATAATCTAAATGTTTTGATAAATAATCTTTTACATAATTAAAAAAAAATCGCATTTTTCTGTTATCTCTATCCATTTCTTTGATACATATATTTGCAGCTTCACCAAATCCAACAATTAAATGAGTAGGCAAAGTTCCAGATCTTAATCCTCTTTCTTGTCCCCCCCCATGTATTAATGCATTTAATCTGATGTTTGGTTTTTTTCTTTTAATATATAATGCACCAATTCCTTTAGGTCCATATATTTTATGAGCAGATATAGACATTAAATCAATATTCATTTTTTGAGCATCAATAGGAATCTTCCCAACTGCTTGTGATGCATCAGTATGAAATATAATATTTTTTTCTTTGCATAATTTCCCAATATTTTCAATATCTTGAATTACACCAATTTCATTATTTACATAAATAAAAGATGCCATTATAGTATTATCTTTTATGTTATTTTTAATATCTTCTAATTTTATAATACCTTTTTCATCAGGTTTTAAATAAGTTATTTCAAATCCCTTTGTCTGTAAATATCTACATGTTTGTAAAATACATTTATGTTCAATTTGTGAAGTTATGATATGATTTTTCTTATTATTAAGTTTATTATAATAAGTGCATATTCCTATTAAAGCTAAATTGTTACTTTCAGTTGCTCCTGAAGTAAATATAATTTCTTTATTATTTTTCCCATTAATTAAATCAATAATATTTTTTCTTGAATCTTCTACTGCTTTTTCAGATTCCCAACCAAAAAAATGATTCCTTGAATGCGCATTTCCATATATGTATGTTAAATATGGTAACATTTTATCTAATACTCTAGGATCAATCATTGTAGTTGCTTGACTATCTAAATAAAATCTATTAATCTTACTTTTTTGTTTTTCTCCAATATCATCAAAAATTTCATTTTTTTCAATAAATTCATTATCTTTATTTAATGTGTTTTTTATATCAACATTTAAATTAGTATCTACCAATTCAATATGACCATCATTTGTAATTTTTGTTTCATTGTTATTATTTAACTCTTTATTAATAATTTTATTATTAAAATTATTTTCATTCAAATTTTCAGTAAATTCATTATTTTTTTTTACACTACATAAATTATTTATTAAAACTTTTTTAAATTTTACTGTCTTCTCATTTTTACAACTTTTAACTATTGAATTTCTTAGAATATTAAAATTTTTTAAAACGTGAAAAACTCTCATGAGAATTTAAAATAAAGAAATAAAATATATAAATATATAAAATAAAAAAAAAAAAAAAGGAAAATTATCATATAAAATTATACTATAATATGAAAATATACAAATGAAATCGTTTTTTTATATAATCTTCAAAAAAAAAAAAAGCTTATAATTTTGTATATTTTACATAAAAAAATTCAATTTAATTTAATTATTAATAATCACATATGTTATAGAAAAAAGGTTAAAGAAAAAAAAAAAAAAAAAAAATTGAATTATTATAAATTAAAAATAAAATTTTCAAAAAAAATAATCATACATATATATATCACTAAAAATAAAGATGAAATTTTGAAAGAAATAAAAATAAAATAATTAAAAAAGTAGGTTAATTATTTTTATATAACATAAATTGTCAAAAAAAGTAGATAAATAAAATAAAAAAAAAAAAATAAAATAAAATGCAGTAATTTTTATTTTAATTTAATTTTTTTTAAACAAAATAATTATAAACCACACAAAATGCAGAAAAAATAATTTACATAAAAAATTAAGAGTATATATATAAACATTATTTTGTTAAAAATAGTTTGAAATAAGAACATATTTATAAAGAATATTTTAAAAACATTTTAAATTGAAAATATCTCGTTACAGTTTTAAAATTTACATGTTACTAAAAAAATAAAAATTACGTAGAAAAGAAATTAAGGCAAGTTCTATCATATATCTTAATTACTTTTTAATTTAGAAGTATATATACTTTTAATATATTTAAAATATAAAAATATTATTTAGAGAAATACATTTAAATTTATATATAATAACAAAATATAAAAAGGTGCTTGAATTTCTCATTCTCAACATACATATGTATTCATATAAAAAAAAAAAAAAAAAAAAACAAAAAATTTTACACTTTTTTTTTTTTTTTTCATTTTAAATAAAAATATCAGTAAAAATATAAATAAATAAGAGAAGTAAAATGTTCATTTAAAAAATAAGGAAAAATCTTAAATACAAATTGTAAAATGAACAAAAATTATACCTTTTTAGATATGAATAATGTAAAAAATTTTAAATAAAATATGCAAAATTAAAAAAAAAAATCAAACTATATTACTTATAAAAATTATTTTTTTCATAAATTTTACCCATTTTTACTGAAAGTTATATTTTTAGTAAAATATATTTTTATTCATTGTTTCTATACAAAATTTAATTAATGTAGTAAATTTTTTATATTAAAATCATCAAATATATTATGAGTTTGTAAAATTAAAGATATAACAACAATATTAACAGAATTCCCAATTAGTTTAAGTTTTTGTCTATTTGATATGAAGTTAGGAAATTTAAATTCGTGACAGAAGCATTTTTTTTCCTCCTCTATCTCTTTTTTTGTATTCTTTACATATTCTATTGAATTTAATAAACACGTATTCGTATTATTTGCATCACAATAATGAATATTGTAATTATATGCACATTTATGATTTATATGATCAATATTCCAAAATATATTTCCATAGGTGTTTTTTACATTTTTTTTTAAATTATATTTTTCTGTATGTATCTTAAATCCCATTAATCTGCATATTTCAGTTGGTGTAAAATATCTCACTTTATTTTCATATTTTCTCATTTCATTATCTTCGTATTCACTTTTATAAGATACTTCTATGGAATAATTCTCATTTGATAAATTATTCAATTCTTCACTTGTAGAAGAATTTATTAATTCATTCTCCGATTTACTTTTTACATTATATTCGTGTAATGTTTGTTTATATAATTTATCTGTTATTATATTATTATTATTTTTTTTTTTTTTTTTTTTGTATTTGCAAAAATATAGTATAGAACCTGAACCAATAATATATCGACCGTAATTAGAGGTAAAACACATACTATGCACTTTTTTAGAATTTATTTTATATTTCATTCTCTCGTTATGGAAGTTATTTATACAGTTATTTTTTTCAGCATAATACTCATTGGAATCAAAACAGCATTTATTTCCTTTTTTATTGATATCTATAATATCAAAGCAATATGCTGATTTCTTTTTAAGAATATCTTTCTTTACTTCAAATTCATTTAAATTATTATCAATCATATTTATATTTTTAAATTTCATATTATCTATGGAAAATTTTTCATTAATATCTAGATATGTTATTATACTTGGCATATAAAAAGTAATTTTTTCATTTTTTTTTGAGTTTTCATTAGATTTAAATGAAATATATTTTTGTGGAATTAAAGAATTACTATATAATGTATTTTCTTTTTTTTCAAAAATTATCTTTTCTTTGTTATCATTTAAATTATCTTTTTTTTTACATATACAGTAAAAACGAAGCCGTTCATTGGGAATACCAAATTGTAAAGGTGACAAATGGTATGTTTGAAAATTATAATTTTTTTGAATAGAATGTATAAAATATAAAAAAGAAAAAGATACTTCAAAATTTTTCACATTTTCAATAAATATATACTGCGGTAAATTTTGTGTATTTGTATTTTTTAATAAATTGCAAATATGAATAAAACTGTTAGTTCTTTCATCTTTTTCAAAATCTAAAGAACCTATTATTTTTTCCACATCTAAATTATCAGTACTAAATTTATCATAAATTTCATTTGGATAATTCTGGTTTTTCATACTATCATTGTTGTTCAAATCATTATAGTTACTTGTATAAATGCATTCATTCATATTATTACCATTTCTCATATTCTTATCGCAATATATGAAATTTTTTTCGTTTTTATTAATATCTAATACATCGTAATTACCATTAGCATCCTTATTATTATTTTTTGAATGTTCATTATAAACATTATTATTACTTTCTTCATAACTATTCTTATTAGTTTCTTCCTTTGTTTTATGAAATTGGAGTCTTATGTTATTATTTTTAGAAATAATTTCATTTAAATCAATTTTTTTAAAACTTTTATTTTGTCTTGTATATGGTTGACAAGGATTTGATATCAATAATATGTCAAATTGATGAAAATCGAAAAATTGAGCAGTCAGATTATTTATATCTGTTTGAATAATGTAATTTTTATTGTAATTAAACTCATTTTCATTATTATCACTTATGTTATTTTTATTTTCTTTCTGTTTTTTAGAATTATAAAATTGTATTTTTTGTTCGTGACTTTCACTACTTTTAAACTTTTTTTTAAAAAATTTTTTAATATCTTTTCTACTAGTCAAATAGATACAATTTTCTTGAAAATTGTGGTAATGGGTTTGATTTGCTAAATGATTTAAATCTAACGATATAAAATGAAATATACTTTTTATATCTTTTCTTATATTTTCATTATTCCAATTATGAATATAATTGATCAACGCTTGTATCAAACTATAATGCAACCCCCCTATTCCGCTATAAAGTTCTAATACTTTTATTTTTTTCATTAAAATAATTATATAGTAATCATGATTTGTTCTTTAATTATATATAAAAAGACTAACATCATTTTGAATAAGCAGAATTCGTAACATATGAACAAAATTTACATTCTTAATAAAGAAAAATGTATATATGTGAATATTTAATACTTTTTATACAAAAAAAAAAAAAAACATAAAAATAAAATAAAATAAAATAAATTAATTTCTTTTTATGCTTAAAATATAATTACTTCTAAAACATTTTTTATAGTATTATTTTTAAAGTGTAAAAAGTGGTAAGTAGAACATATAACAAAATTTTATTAAAATTCTATTTATATATGAGTATATATATATATAGCTACATATAACTAAATATAAATAAAATTTTCTATTAAATGAATTTATTTTAAATGAAAATTAAAATATATTTTTTCTTTTTTTTTTTTTTTTTTATAAATTTATTTTTATATACAATTGTATTTTTATAAAATGTATTACAAGCATACTATACATTTTTTTTTTTTTTTTTTTTTTTTTTTTTTTTCTGTCCTCTACCCGATATTCATTTATCTAATTAATTTTTTTTTTTAAGAAAAAAATTAAAATATATTATTTGATACATGATATTATAAAAAAAATAAGTTATTCATATATATATAAATATATATATATATATACAAAAAAAAAAAAAAAAAAAAAAAAAAAAAATCTTTTTGAGGCTTTTGTCCCAAAAAATTTTTTATTATTCCCATGGATTCATTTTTTCGGAAAAGTTTACAAAACATTTTTTTTTTAATAATTTAATAAAAAAAAAAAAAAAAGGGGCCCTTTTTTATTTTTTTTAAAAAAAATAAAATTAACCAAAATTTGGTTTTTATTCTACCAAAAAAAAAATTTCTTTTTAAACTAAAAAGGTTTTCCACCAGGGGATTTTAAAAAAAAAAAAATATAAATTTTTAATTTTACCAAAAAAAGGTTTTAAAATAAAAAAAAAGGAATTTTAAAAAAAAAAATTTTTATTTTTTTT